GTCCAAAGATACACAACTCATTTCTGTTGTTTAACGCATTATTGGGCTGAATGACCCCACAGGCCTAACTTGGAAAAGATGGCAGGTCGCTGCGGCCCTGGTCTCACAATTGTTTCTCTGATCTCATGTCCTTCCCACCCTTCATAATTCTTGTTTTCTAAATATTGAAGGTGTGTAACTGTAAACTTTGTAGAGATGAGCTACTCTGGACCAGTATCTATTTAAGCGAAGACCTAAATGCTTTGCTGAGACAGTGACGCGTATAAAGTCTATCCCAGGGAAAGAAATTCAGGACAGGAAGTGCTCAATCCTCCAGCACTGGCCTGACTACCTGCAGCTCAGGGCTGTGACCCTTAGCCCCACCCTGCAGTACTAACTCCGGACTCCAGAGCAGAGTTGTGATTTACTTCAGGGCTCTAGGCAAGTCCCTTTAACCAGGCTGTCCTTCCCCTTCCGTGTTTGTAAAACAGAGAGATGATGTGCGATATCTCCCTCACTGCTCCATCAGAAGCACTGTGTGAAATTAGCTCCTGTTTGTTTGGAAAGGTTTTAAAGCCACACATTCCACCTCCCTGCTAATATGATTACTAGCACTTCCTTGTAGGAAAGGGCCAACCCCTCATCCCCTTTCTTTCTAAAAAACAAACCAAAGAGTATCTTTTGTCTCCCTGTGGCCAAAAACGGCTGTTGCTTCTGTGGTTGTTACCTCTGCAGAAGGTCAGTTTGCTGAGGTTAAGGATTCCTAGTTGCACCACAACCAAACAAACAAAAAAAAAAATCAACAAGAATAATAACAACAACAACAAAAATAACTGCTGTGAAGGTTCTCAGAGGGCTTCTGAGTTATAAACAGACTCTTCTTTCTAACTGTAAAAACTATGGCCCCGGTCAGTCTCCAAGCCATCTCTGTCCTCTAAAGAGTTAGACCTGGTAGGAGAGGAAGGAAACTAAACTGTTTATTGGGGCTGTCTTTCTGAGGATCATCACCAAGGCTTTCCACAACAAGCATTTAAAAAAACATATTTTGGAAGGAAAGTGACATTTTAAATAGCCAAAGAGGTACCTCTCTCTGGCGCACAGCTCCGTGCACAGCCTGTTTCTCAACCTTTGGAAATCCTTTAACAGTTTATAGAAGGCCACCCTTAAAACCAATCCAACAGCTCCTTTCTCCATAACCTGATTTTAGAGGTGTTTCATTATCTCTAATTACTCAGGGTAAATGGTGATTACTCAATGTTTTAATCATCAGTTTGGGCAGCAGTTACTCTAAACTCAGGGAAGCCCAGACTCCCAAGGGTATTTTTGGAAGGTACAGCGACTAGTCGGTGCATGCTTTCTAGTACCTCTGCACGTGGTCCCCAGGTGAGTCCCGCCGCTTCCCAGAGCTGGAGGCAGCGGCGTCCCAGCCCAGGCGGCAGCTGCGGACTCCGGCGCTGCGCGGGCTTCCGGGACCCGGGCCTGCGAGGCGAGGCCCGGCGGCTGGATAGGAGGATGTGGGCGGGGCTCCCATCCCAGAAAGGGAGGCGAACGAAGGAGGAGGGAAGAAGGGAGGGGCTGCCAGGGAAGAGGAGGAGGAAGGAAAGAAAGAAAGAGAGAGGGAAAGAGGAGGAAGGAGAAGATGCAGGAGGGCAGAGCAGGAGGGAGGGAGGGCAGGAGTGCGGAGCCCGGCCCGGAAGCTAGGTGAGTGTGGCATCCGAGCTGAGGGACGGGAGCCTGGGACACCGCTGCTGCTCCGGGCTGAGTATCTCGCCTCCCTCCCCGATGGGATTCCCGTCCGTGCCGTCTCGAGCCTGCAGCGCCCCAGTCCTCGGCCCTCGCCTAGGTTCACTGCATCTGTTCAGAGGTCCCCAGGAGCTGCTGCTGGCGAGCCCGCTACTGCAGGGACCTATGGTGAGCAAGGCTGCCTGGCGAGGGGCGCCGGGCAGAAGTGGTGGAGGCGCATCCTTGGTGGAGGGTGGGGATGGGAGGAGAAGCAGGGGGCTCAAGCTATGGTAGCGGCAAAAGGTGGCCTTTGTGTGTGTGTGTGTGTGTGTGTGTGTGTGTGTGTGTGTGTGTGTGTGTTACCCAACAGAAGTGCTAGAGGTAGGGATGCTGGCGCTGAAAGACACTTCCTTAGCTGCTACTGCCTCCACCCAGGCCACTTTCTCCGTCCCAGGGCTATGTGCACCTTTGGTACGTTTGGGGCAGGAGAGGAGGGAAGAAGAGAAGCCTTTAGTTGGGGGTCGTTGAAGAGTCTGCGAGGTCTTGAGCGGAACACGTTGCGGGTAGCCAGGCGTTTGCGATCTCCGGACGGGAAGGGCCAGGAGAGAAAGGAATTTCGGCTCAGAAGTCGGAAGAGAGTGAGGGGACGGCAAGGTGGAAGGAGAACACCTAACCAGGGCTGGTTGGAGGTGCGGAGCGCTGCTTTACTGCCTCTGGAGCGTGCGCGCCGAACGAGGGGCTGCCCGGAGGGGAGTGTCACCCGACCCGGCCCCCAGCCGGCAGAAGCCTCTGAGAGCTTGCCAACTGCCGTTGCGAGACGCACCTCCTCCACGAGCTATTTTCGTGGATTTGCAGCATCCCAGGAGCCTCTCCTCTATCATTTCATGGTGTAGGGTCTCGATGGCTGGGATGCCAGGCGCTCTGGGAACGAGTCTTTCGGCGGAGCCCTGTCCCATGAAGAATCGCGGGCGAACTGCACCGCGGACCTGCGGCTCTTCTTAGTTCTCCCTTCCCGGAGCCAACAGCAATGGGTCCCCGGAATCCCAGGTCACTGCGGACCACTCCCGGTGGGAGGTGGGCCTGCGGCCTCAGACACCTCCTGGGCACCTCTTAGGTGGATGGTTTGTAAGGATTGCGGTTTGTAGGCTCAAGGCTTTGTGAGACGTGAAAACCCCTAAGACAGGGACTTGGTAAACTGAGGTGACCTCGGAGCAAACTGGCTTTGGGAGAACACTCAGGCAGGGATGTGAAGGACAATCGCCATGAGTTGCATCCCTACCCCACCCCCAAGAAAAAGTTAGGAAGGCGGAAGTTCTTTTCGGCTTTTATCTTTTTAAATTAAAAATTGGGAGAAAAAACGTGAATAGAGATGAATCCCACTTATTAAATCCGAAATTGAAACATAACAAGCTCTTCCCCAGCCTCTGAGTTTTAGCGCGCCGTGCGCTACCGCAGCCACCCTTAGATTGCCCGGGCATTCCAGACGCTGGCCACTTCCACTGTCCCTTCGCCCCGCGGTGCCCGGCCCCGTCTCCGTCTGCTTTCCCCATTTCTAAAACTCCTCCCAGAGGGCGGTTTTTCTTTTTTTTTAAAGGGTTCCTGGAGTCTCGAAAAGAAAAGAAAAACCTCTTTGCTCTTTCCAATCCTTCTGCAGTCACTCCCAGCGGTGGCGCGGCAGCGGGAAAACCTAAAGCCGCTCAGAAAACGGCGCGGCTCTCTTGGCGGGGATGGTTGCGCAGGGGCGCCCGTGGTCTCTGCACCTCGGCCCGCGGAGTTAGGCGGCGCCGGACAGCCGCGGCTCGGAGGGAGGGCTAAGCGCTTGATTTTCTTTTACTCCTCTTCCTCAAAGCCTTCACTGGATTGCCCCCAAGAAGAAACCCATGTTAGGAGGGGAGAGTAAGGTGGGCAACGTGAGCCCTCGATCTCTCTCTGCAGCGACCTAAGGCAGAAACTGGGAACAGACTCAGGAAAAGGAGGCGGGGTGCAGTGGGGTTGTGACCGGGAGTTGAGGGGCTCGGGACCCCGGGGCGGGCCCGCGCGGATGCAGATATGCGCCGGTGAGGTTTTCGAGAAGGCCCCTGTGCTGAGCTACCCACGCGTACAGCATCTTCGGTTAGTTAGGATATCCCAGTAATTCCTTGAGCTATGAACTGGTAATATTCCTGAAGAAATATGTGCTGCGATTCTGTAGCTGGTGCAAAGGAGGACCGGGCTGGGGGTAAGGAAGTGGGGGGGAGGTTGGGTGGAGTTGTAGTTTAAAAAATGAGACGAGAGAGAGAGAGAGAGAGAGAGAGAGAGAGAGAGAGAGAGAGAGATCGAGCGCAGGCCAAAAGCTGTTCAGTTTTCTTGACTCCTGGGAACGTGGTGGGGTTTCCTTTCTGCGCTGAGTCGGGAGTTGTAAAACCTCGGCGACGTTAAGACCTGAAACTTATGATGCGCCCCCACCCCGCCACCAGCGGCGACGTCTCCTTTTGAGTCCGCCTCCGCCCAGACTGGCTCTACCGACAGCTTTCTTTGGGGATTAATGCTTTGCTCTGGGGGACGCGAGATTCTCCCTGTAATGCAACAAGAGAAAACAGCCTAGCGGCCGCTTCCTCCCCACTTTCCCACGTCGATCGCTCCAGCAACCTCCTCCCTCCGCCCGGTGCCTGACTTGGTCAGCCGCTTTTGGCTGGGAGCTAAAAAGTTTCCCCAGTTTGCCTGAGCCCTTGCAGGCGTTCGCCAGGGGGTAGCTGTCGCTAGGAGCAATATTTGGCCTCACGGAGACCCTGGGGAGGAAATGGAGGGGTGCGCGCGCGCGCGCGCGCGTGTACGTGTGTCTCTCAGCGCTTTCCTTCTTAAGTGCCCCTTGGTGGTGAGGTTTTGAGAAGCTGTGATTCCGCCGCCCCCGCTCCGGGCCCTCTAGAGCCGGGTCTGCGCAGAAAGACGCAGTCCCTACAGTGAGCCCCAGATCCTCTGGCTTCAGGCCGCTTGGTGCTAGTGCCTCGCCGGACGTCCCGAACGCCGCCTGTACAGGCGAGAGCGCGTCCCCCGCGCGCTGTGCCGCGGGACCTGCGGAGGGGTCCGCGGATCGCAGCCGGGAGCTCCTCCCGGGCAGCTGGAAGCTCCGACCGCAGGCTGGGAGGTTGGCCTCTCCAGGAGGGGGCGGGGCCGCGTTGGGGCCCTTTCGCCGCCGGGCGCGGGGAGGGCGGGCTCCTCCGTGCGCGGGGCGGGGCCTTTGCGATCACGTGACTCAGAGGGGCTGGAAGAAAAACAGAGCCCGTCTGCGCCAGTCTCATTATATTCAAATATTCATTTTAGGAGCCATTCCGTAGTGCCATCCAGAGCTACGCACTGCTGCAGCTCCTCTGAGCCTTTCCAGCAAGTTTGTTCCAGATTGGCTGTCAAGAATCATGGACTGTTATTATATGCCTTGTTTTCTGTCAGTGAGTAGACACCTCTTCCTTTCCCTCCCGGGAATTCACTCTACCCTCCCCACCTCTGCTCGTCTTGTGTCCCTCCCGTCGGACCTTCCCCCCAGAGCCCACACTCTGCTTTCTGGCAGCGCTGTCGCTTTCTTCTTGGCGGGGCAGCCGTGGTGCTCTAGGCGGACCGGTTCTGTTTGAAGTGCTGCTTGCTCCCACTCGCGCTCTCAGATCGGGTGCGTTGTAAGAAAGCGGAGCGAGAGGGGGCTACAAAGATGAAAGGTCCCGCAGCCCCGGGTTGTACCCTATGGGCTAATCATCGCCCCCCTTCCCACTTGACTGGGGGTGTTCCCGATGCCCCCTGGTCGCGTTCCCAGCTGCTTGTCAAAACTCAGAGGTCGCTCGGGGAGTCCCTCCACCCCCCCTACCCCCTCTCCCGTCCCTTGCCCGAGAGTGAGCGAGCGCGATCAGATGCTTTTTGCTGGGCATTTCAGACTCATCGGCCACACTAAAATAAACCGTCAAGCCACTCGGTCAGCTCCCAGACCACGTTCTCGGTCTCGGACTCTGGACCCTGCCGCCCGTATCTTTGCCCTGCCCCTGCTTCCCTGCTTTTCCTCTCTCCTGCTCTGAACCAGCTGGAAGTTGTGGAAGTTGGGCTGGGAGGGCGGAGGAAGAAGGTGGGGGTGGAGGAGGAGGGGGAGAGGCTGAAGGTCTGAAGTGGAGAGCGATGGCATTTTAATTCTCCCTCCCCCACCCTTTTTACCCCTCAATGTTAACTGTTTATCCTTGAAGAAGCCAAACTGAGATCATGGCTCAGATAGCAGTTGGGACAAAAAAAGATTAACAGGATGGAGGCTATCTGATTTGGGGTTATTTGACTGTAAACAAGTTAGACCAAGTAATTACAGGGCAATTCCTACTTTCAGGCCTTGCATGGCTGCAGCTGGTGGTGGAGGGGGGTGTGTGAGGGAGAAGACACAAACTTGATCTTTCTGACCTGTTTTACATCTTGACCCTCTATCTCTTGCCCTATATGCATATGCAGAGATATCTCCATTTCTCTCTAGTTATTGGTGTTTATTTATTCTTTAACCTTCCACCTCCTCCCCCTCCCCAGAGACACCATGATTCCTGGTAACCGAATGCTGATGGTCGTTTTATTATGCCAAGTCCTGCTAGGAGGCGCGAGCCATGCTAGTTTGATACCTGAGACGGGGAAGAAAAAAGTCGCCGAGATTCAGGGCCACGCGGGAGGACGCCGCTCAGGGCAGAGCCATGAGCTCCTGCGGGACTTCGAGGCTACACTTCTGCAGATGTTCGGGCTGCGCCGCCGCCCGCAGCCTAGCAAGAGCGCTGTCATCCCGGATTACATGCGGGATCTTTACCGGCTCCAGTCTGGGGAGGAGGAAGAGGAAGAGCAGATCCACAGCATCGCTCTGGAGTACCCTGAGCGCCCGGCCAGTCGGGCTAACACCGTGAGGAGCTTCCACCACGAAGGTCAGTCCCTGCCCCGAGTCTGGGCAGGGGAGGGCCAATAGGGTTGGCTGGTGGGGCAGTGGAAGCCCCGGGGGAGAAGGGTTCAGGTTACATCAAAGCCCCAAATCCAGCAGGCTGGGGAACAGAGCTGCCTACCTCCAAGAATTTCCAGAGCTGTGGCTAAATTTATTTTTCTGAGACAGAGGGGAGGGGCTGAGGGAAGGGGAATGACACCACTCAGACGTGGGCTAGCCCCAGCGGTGTGTTTTTGCTATATCAAAGCCTTTTCTGCCAGGTTTGCTGCCCTTTTTTTTTTTTTTTTCAAAGCACCTACTGAATTTAATGTTACAGCTGTGTGTTTGTCAGGTTTATTCAATAGGGGCCTTGTAATCCGATCTGAATGTTTCCTAGCGGATGTTTCTTTTCCAAAGTAAATCTGAGTTATTAATCCACCAGCATCATTACTGTGTTGGAATTTATTTTCCCCTCTGTAACATGATCAACAAGGCATGCTCTGTGTTTCCAAGATCGCTGGGGAAATGTTTAGTAACATACTCAAAAATGGAGGAAGAGGGAAAGGGTGGTTGTGTGCATGTTTCCTCCTGCCTCTGCTCTGTTGGCCCCTCTTTTTCTTTACAACCACTTGTAAAGAAAACTGTGTACACAAAGCCAAGAGGGCTTTAAAAGGGGAGTCTTGATGGTGGTGGAGTAAGGAGTTGACACATGGAAATTATTAGACATATAAAGGAGGTTGGGAGATACTTTCTGTCTTTGGTGCTTGCGGAATGCTAGCTAAGTCCCTTTGAGTTTGCTAGCTGCCCCACTTATCTGCTTCTTCAAATTAAAAGATATGCTTGCTTCCCCTAAATAGGCTTCCACTATATAAACAGAATTCACCACTCATCACCCAACTCTTAGCTATTTCTTGACTTTTCAATCTCTCAGAAAAGTTCATGTGCTCCCCCCTCCCTTTTCTCTTTTTCTTTTCCTCCCTAACTGTGCCTAGAACATCTGGAGAACATCCCAGGGACCAGCGAAAGCTCTGCTTTTCGTTTCCTCTTTAACCTCAGCAGCATCCCAGAGAACGAGGTGATCTCGTCTGCAGAGCTTCGACTTTTCCGGGAGCAGGTGGACCAGGGCCCTGACTGGGAGCAGGGCTTCCACCGAATAAACATTTATGAGGTTATGAAGCCCCTGGCAGAATTGGTGCCTGGGCACCTCATCACACGACTACTGGACACGAGACTGGTCCACCACAATGTGACACGGTGGGAAACTTTTGATGTGAGCCCTGCAGTCCTTCGCTGGACCCGGGAGAAGCAGCCGAACTATGGGCTGGCCATTGAGGTGACTCACCTCCATCAGACACGGACCCACCAGGGCCAGCATGTCAGGATTAGCCGATCGTTACCTCATGGGAGTGGGGATTGGGCCCAGCTCCGGCCCCTCCTGGTCACCTTTGGCCATGATGGCCGGGGACATGCCTTGACCCGTCGGCGGAGGGCCAAGCGTAGCCCCAAGCATCACCAACAGCGGGCCCGGAAGAAGAATAAGAACTGCCGGCGCCACTCGCTCTATGTGGACTTCAGCGACGTAGGCTGGAATGACTGGATTGTGGCCCCACCAGGCTACCAGGCCTTCTACTGCCATGGGGACTGCCCCTTTCCACTGGCTGACCACCTCAACTCAACCAACCACGCCATTGTGCAGACCTTGGTCAACTCTGTCAATTCCAGTATCCCCAAAGCCTGTTGTGTTCCCACTGAACTGAGTGCCATTTCCATGCTGTACCTGGATGAGTATGACAAGGTGGTACTGAAAAATTATCAAGAGATGGTAGTAGAGGGATGTGGGTGCCGCTGAGATCAGCAGTCCTTGGGGACACACACACACACACACACACACACACATTCCCATCCATTCACCCACAGACTACACAGACTGCTTCCTTATAGCTGGACTTTTATCTTTAAAAAAAAAAAAAGGAAAAAAACCTAAACATTCACCTTGACCTTATTTATGACTTTACGTGCAAATGTTTTGACCATATTGATCATATATTTTGACAAAATATATTTATAACTACGTATTAAAAGAAAAAATAAAATGAGTCATTATTTTAAAGGTAAACTATATTATTTCTCGCGAATCCTTTCTCTTTTCCTTCTGCCCCATCTCTTGTGAATGAGATTTCTTTTTCCTGTTGAAGTGGGGCTGGGGGCAGAATGGAAGTCAGAGGGTGGTAACTGGAGGTGGTTAAGTTCTAGGGACAGGAAGTAAACTGATGGGAGAGAGAGCTGGTAATTGCCAGGATGAATTGTTTTCCATTTCTATTTAATGTTAACAAGGACGCAGCATCCTCTCCCATCTGGATGACACATGCCTTGGAGAAACAGTGGGATAAAAGGAGTAGGCCAGATTAAAGACTGAGTTTTGAGCTCCTTGTACATCTTCTGGATTTGCTCACCTGTTAGAGGTGCATTCTCAGCTGAGTGTGATGGATAAGAATCTCAGTTTTGGGAAATGATTCACACCTCTGCTTTTATGATACCCCAGGATGTCTCCAGTTATTATAGGCCTCAATGTTGTATATTTCAATTCAAAGCTAATTTGCACACTCACATATTAACGTGTATATATGTGTGTGTTTTTAACAGTTTTTTTTTTTTTTTGAGAAGTGGGTTTTAGCCAATAAAACAAGTAATGTGCCTTACCTTCAAAAAGTTTGGTGACCACTATTTTAATATACCACATGGTAGAATTCTATAGTGTTTTTGACTTCCTTGTCTCCTATGACCCGCATAAAGGCCTTTTTTGAGTTCAGAATTGCAACAGATTCGACTGGGTGGGGGGTAGCAGCGGGGCAGAGACTGAAGGGTCAGAAGTTCTAAGTAGGCACTGTAAAAGTGTTCCTCGATACAGATTGTCTTGCGTCAAATGCCAACTTTCCTCATCTCTGTACTGCCTGTCCCCCTTTCCTGGAGCTGGGCAGAAAGTGATATACTTGGATGTGATCTTCTGAGCCAGGATTTCTTCAAGGAGAAAGCTCAAATTTTGGCCAAAGTAAAAAAGGAAAATGCTAATGTGCTTGAGCAGTCTCTCTCAATTAAGGGCTGCCAGCAAGGCAGAGAAATGACTTTCTGAAAGGATGTGCATATAGTGGCAGAGGGGACCAGGTGAGGAACCTTTGCTTTTTCTTACTTGCCACCAGCAACTAAATTAAGCCTTGGCATTTCAGCCTGCTTAGGCTCATTGTGTGTGTGTGTGTGTGTGTGTGTGTGAGACAGAGAGAGAGAGAGAGTTTTCTGCAAAGGCTTGGATGAATTTGGGAGAAAAGCAAGGTGGGAAAGACTGACGGAAGTGTATTTCTCCATGTGAGGGTGGCGTGGGTAGTTATGGTGTGTGAGCACCCCCTGCATTCATGTACTCACACTGTTCCATGTGCTCTTGGGAACTGGGTGGGTGAAGCAGGATTCATTTTTGTTTTTAATTACTGAAGTCCTACAATCCTCCAAAATGAGCAGCTTAGTGGAAACCAATAAAAATAGAAGTGGAGCGGTTGCCAAAGCCCCAGCTCCCCAGAGAGCGCAGGTGGAGAGAGGAGATCAGAGCCCCAGGCAAAGGCAGCAAGACTCCACAGTTCCTCCAAAACTCCCTGCAAAGAGAGATATTTCCCCCTCCTCTAGTCCCCCAGGTCGCTGCCCCTTTGATTAATGGTATGGAGGTCGAATAAATCATTTAGGGGAAGCCCATTATGGGTTCCCCTCAGGCGGCCTCGTTTTGTTTTGCCCGATTTCCAGCAACTTTCTGAAATGTCCGTGTCATTGAAAAGGAACCCGCAGATCTCCAGCACTTGGACAAATTATCCGAGGGCGAGTACTGAGCCCGGTGGCTGCCTGGCTCAGGTCACTTTCTAGCAACCACCCTCCCCCCAACCTCCCTCTACTTCTACTGGCTTATTTTCAGGAATGGATAATGTTGTTTATTTGTTCAGCCAAATATTTGGTCTGGGGAATTTACCGTGAAATTCTGTGAATTGCATATACCTAGTTAACAAAATAGTCCTAATGCCACAATGTTAGCATGAAAAACAACGCGCTATGGCCAGCTTTAACTCTTTAAATTCTTTTTGAGGGGAGGTAAGGAATTGAATACGCGTAAAGATGATTTAATTTACGATTCAGTCTTCTCGGTGTCGCTTTTGGATCACACCTGCCATTTCCCCCTTCATCTCTTTATTATTTATTTATTTATTTTTCTCCAGAGTAATGTTCTCATTACCTAAAGAAAGGTGGGGAGTAAGGATCATTCGGGAGTTCAGCAAAGTCATAACCACATCAGAGGAGCGGCTTGGTCGATCCCTGCCCAACCCTTAAATTGGAACTGGCTTCCTAGGAGCTTCAGAAAAAAAAGAGGGGGGTGTGTGTGTGGAACGCATCACATATTCCCCGGCTTTCGCTGCATATTTCGCTCAGAACGTGGCAGGTGACCTGCTGACTTTGTTTTCTGTCTTGGCCGTGCTTCGTTCCACTATCCCCTTGCCGCCGGGCAGCGCCACGCTGTGAGGGACCGGGACAGCGGCGGCGCTGGCGGACCCCAATAATCACTTGGCCTTGGACTGACGTCAAAATCCCGCGGACAGGCTCCGCCCCCGCCTGCGCACGGAGCTCCGGAGCTCCGCTGCGGCGGGGGCGCCAGAGGGCGTCCTCCCTGCCGGGGATTGGATGGTGCATCTACTATCCACGCGGGGACCACACCGCGGGCTTGGCAGTGCGGGCTTGCACCCTTCAGCCCCCTCCTCAGTCAATCTGCAGATTTCAGGTTCCCCCGCTCCCCTGGAGCTGATCACCCGTCCAGCTCCGCCGCCTTTCCGGAGCCAGAGCAGGTGAAGCTTTGCAAAGACGGGCGGATCTTGATTAGCGCACGTGGGTCCTAAAGGCGGGTGCTCGGCACCTTGAAGGTGAAATGGGGTCAAGCTGCCCCGCAGAGGCATGGAGTCTGGGGAGCGTGCTCAGTCGGATGGAGGGGTGTAAGAGGCGTCTATATCTTTAGGGGTTTTCTGTTGTTGGGCGGAGAGCAGGATTTAGGGAGCGAGGCTCTCCTTGCGTAGAGCTCACAGTAGGACCGCATCTTGTAGTGACTGAATGGGGGCATGGAGAGTGGGGAACAGACCATTGACACTTTCCGGGAACCGCGGTCTCACCCTCCTCGAGGATGCACAGAGCCCGGTCTCGGGCTGAACTGCCACCATCACCTCCTTCCAACCTTTGGGGAGGGAGAGGAGTAGAAGAGATGTGCTTGAATGGAGTTGGCTCATTTCTTTCAGAAGCGAGATGCCAAGCCCATAATTTCTTGACAGCACCTCAGCTGACCTTCTCTGGGCCTGTGGCCCAAGGACTCACAGTGCCCGCACTCTCCACCTGCCTCCCAAAGCCGTGGACTCAGAATGGTGATCCCTAAGGTGAATTGAAGCCAATAAAGCGGAGGCCCAAGTTTCCAAACTGCCTTTGTGCTTCCACACAAAGCAAATTGAATAAAATATACAACCATTCTCTTTCTAAAATGCGAAGAACAATGCAAAAGCAACGATGTTGACCTTAGATTACCGGAGAATCAGAAAGTTATTAGTCTTGCCTGGAGGAATTTAGGATATTGGTGGACTGCCAAATTAGAATCGATGCAGAATTGCTCGGGTGTACCATTTGAAACAGACTAGCACAATTTGAAAACTTAACCGGAAATAAATTCGGAGTGGTTGGAGGTGTGGCCCGGGTGGAACAGCGAGGGTCCCACTTCCCTATGCTTTCACCACTTAGTGGCAGAATAAATAAACGGTTGAAAACTGAGTGGTCGTCAATGAAGAAAAGTGCCTGGCTTTAGGAAAAATTTTGGATGGCTCTAATGTTTTTATTTTTTAAAAAAGTCACCAGGACATTTGGAAAACAAATAAAAAATTAAAGGTGTGTAACATTTAGCCAATCCTAGAAAAAGAAGAAGCCATTCCATTTGTAAGTCACTTTAAGGTATTAACTGAAGCAAGTTCCAGTTGCGTCTGTTTTTTCTCTCTATTCAAAATATTCTCTAAAAACTCTGAATGAAAATATAAATGCTCTTACGTTGTTCAGAACAAACTATTCAAAAAATATAATACTATAGGATTCAGAAATGTTTACTTCAAAAAATGTGAAATTTGAGGAAAAGGAAAAAAGATGGAACAATAATTTGCTGAGTTATGTTACTAATGAGAATTTCTTAAGTCCAGTTTTCAGTTGGTTTTGCCACATTTTCTGAAGAAAAGATCTCATTGATCTCTCTTCACTTTTTATAACTTGATTCCTAACAAAATATTTTAAAACAACATGCCCCCTCCTCATCCTAAATCCTCAAACCTTCAGCTAAGGGGCAAGTACACTCTAGTCTTGCATAGTTTCATTGTCATTTAAAAAATATATATATTTATAAATAATATAAAATTAAATATAAATATAAATATTCATATATTTATAAAAATATATTTTATATTAATAAATATATATTTTATATTATTCATAAATGTATATTTATATGTTTATATATTTTTTCAGCTTTATTAACTGGATCCATGTTCAGCACATAATTTTCTAAAGCATCCAAAGTACACTGATTGAGAGTTTCAAATATTCAATTCTATCGTTTACTCCTCAACTTGTGCCACAGTTCCTCTAGGACCAGAAACTGGCTCCATCCTGCACAGAGTTGCCCATGATTTAGCTGAGAAAATGTATAATTGTTCATCTCAAGCTTGTATTGATTGAATTTTTAAATCAATGCCATTCGATTTTGAAAGCAGTTTATTATTAAGGTAGGACTCAGGAGAAGAGTCCAAAGATATGCACATTATCAGAGAGAGAGAATTGAGGAGTGCACTTCAACTTACATTAGTTTTCTGTTGATTATTATGCAAAAATAATGAAGTGCTCCTTTTCAAGGATGACAGCAGGCATGCTTAAGTCTATACCCACTGTCCCTTGAATTCAAGTAGGATTCAGAAGTAGAATAATGTGTCTTTTGA